AAACTTCAAATACTCTACTATATAATTTAATTACTAATGATTCTATTCTTATAACTTGCTACAGAGTAGCAAATATTAACTAATTAATTAATAATTATTTTTAAAAATAATTTAAATTTGGTTATAATATAATTGATTTTAATGTTGAAATTAAAACTATTGTATAATTTGATTATATGTTTTCTTATCACTAATTAAAATTAAAAAAATCAAACATATAATAAATTAATTTAAAATCAGCATATCATCAAAAATTGACTAAAATTTAATTTATTGATTAGCATATATTAAGAATTAGTTAAATTCAACTTATTTTATTTATAGCTAAATTGGCTAAATATTTTATAAATTTTATTAAATAAATAAATTTAAAAGCAAATATAACTAATATTTATATTTTTTAACTCATAAAATTTATAATTAAAAATTATTCAATTTATTTAATTGTATTTTTATAAATGATATATTCTATTTAGATTAATAGCTAAATATTTTTTTACATTTTACTAAGCTAAAATTTAATAGTTTATTAGCATAAATTAATTTAAAATATAATGTATTAATATTATATAATTATGATTAATTAGTTTTATATAATTTGATATTATATATTTGTTTTATTAATATAATATTAAATGTTTGAAGAATTTGCAAAATTGATATCAGTAAACATATACTAAGAAATATTCAATTAGTTAAATAGTAAATTAATTATATAAGTAAAATAATATTAGACTTCATTTGTATAACAATTGATAATATCATAATTTTTAATAAATTTGATCAAATATATGAATTTTTTATATATTATAAAGATATTAATGAATTAATATTTTAGAACTAATTTAATATCTTTTGAATTAATTTATTTTATTTATATCATTTTTTAAATCCTTATTGAATAATTTTTAAATTCTAATATGCTGCTATATAGAAAATATTTAAAATATAAATGAAAAACTTTAATTTATTAGATTAATATGATCAGCCATATAATTTTAGTTTTTCATTTTTACTTAAATAGATAAAATAAAAAAAATTCTTATAAAGTAAGTTCTTTTTAGATTAATTTTATTACTTTTATAAAATAAATTAAATATATACAATATTAATGTTTATTGATTTTATTTTATTTTTTTTTATGATATAAAATAAAGGAAAATTTATGAATTTATAATATTCTTAAGTATTTGTTATTGATTTAATTATTTATCAATAAAAATTAATTTATTATATAATTAATTAATAAATTTTTTTAAAATAAATTTATGTTAATATTATAATCAATCAAAAAAATTTATTCATTTTATGCTATTCTATTAGAATTGATAGTAATATTAGTTACTAAAATATTAAAATTCAGATAAGTATAAGTTAATTTAAAAAAAAAGAAAGATAGGTAAAAAGAAGAAATATAGTGAAAACTAATTATTTAGCTTAGTTTAAACAATATTGATAATATTTATATTTTTGTCTTTGTTTTTTGTTTTGCCTTTTACTTTTGTTCCTTTTCTTACTGAAATATACTTATAATCTTTGATATATACTTTAATATATTTTTGCTTTGCAAAAGTATAAAAGAAGGCTTTCACTTTTTATTTTTTCTTACTATCTAATAGCAATTTCTTTTGAATATTTCACTTTATGAATTTTTATATTAGTAAATTCAGCCTTTGATTATGTATTTATATCTATATGATATAAAATAAATGGATTTTGAGATTATAGAACTTTATTGATACCTGTTCTTTTTTAGTTTTTTTTTCAAAATTATTGATGAGTATATTTTAGTTATTGGTAAATAGATATCAAAAAATGATTTGATAATCGTTTAATTTGTTGTTATTAAGCAAAATCAGTTTATTAGGATTAGGAGGTATCAATTCGTTATTTAAGGTGATGATATTGCTATATTTAACATATTGATTGTTTTAATTAATAGAAACCTTGTTGTTGGAGTGAAGAATATGATTTATAAAAAATTTGAAGTTGAAAGTTGGCAAATTTTGATGAGTTGCCATATAGTATTCAACTATCAATCAAAATATTTCACTTAAAAAAAATTAAATTATCAGATGATGATTTAAGGAATTAGCTGGGAAATATTTACTACCAAAAACATTTGATTCCTTAATATTTTGTAAATTCGATTTCATCAGAAGACTATTCGTTTGTAACTGAAAGGGAACTAATAAAAAGCTGATTGTTTAGCAATTCAAGCTCTTTTATTTTAAAACTACCTGAACTTGTAATATTGTTGATTTGAATATCAAACATCAATTGACGTATTATCTTAGATTAGATTTTTCTATTACTATTTGGTAAAGATTATATATTCCATCCATTATATTTAATAAATTTTTTAAATAAATTAAAAATTTTTGAGTCCACGTGACATGAAAATTTAAAATTCGTCTTATATACCGAAAACGGGAATTTTTAAAATTCGAATAAGAATTGCATATTTGCGTGTTTCAAGTAAAAGAATTAAATAAATGTATATATAAGCTTTAATTGCTTTGTTTAGAAATATATATAAATATAATCTTAAATTATAACGTTAAATCGTCATTTCGTAAGTGAGAAGTTGTGTAGCTGTTTTTATAGAGCATCCCTCAAAAGAATAAAAGAGAAAGAAATTATCAAAATTAAATAATTCCATTGATGAATATGAGAAAATTCGTAAAGGAGAAATGAAGTTACTTTTATTGATAAGCAACAAAAAACCCTTTCTTTCGCTAACTCCTTTTTTTAAATAAATTTTACTCACGAAGCCATTTTATTTGTGGCTTCGTTTTTATTTTGTTTGGATTGTAACCTACAAATTAACCTGAAATTTTTAGAATTGCAGTAGCAAATAAAAAAATAAGACTTTAATTTGTATTTATTGACGAACTTGTCTGCACCTCATAAATTTTCAATCATATAATCAGACAGCCATTTTTATTCTTAAAGTCTAGAGACCAAGAAAATTGCAGCGCTAGATAAACTTAGTTTCGTTTATCTCGTTGATTTCAATTGTCACCTTGAATTGTCAATGTTTTTATTTAATTTTTTGAAAAGTAATCATGCAAAGTACCAATCATGTGACAAAAAATTTTATAATCTTCACAGCTCTAAGGCTGTGTACATTTCGCTAAAGGTTATGTTAACTAAATCAAATTCAAACACTGCCTTTCGAACAATTTATAGCATAATTCCCAATTGAAGTTAAGATTCTATATCACCAGATTACCATAGTAGAATCTAAACATGTTTGTGACGGGTTAAGCCACAATACTATTTTTGCGTGACGCTTAATGTCACATGTATCACGTGAAAACGCGTTTCGATTTTTATTATAATTCAGAGTGTAGCATATTTGTCACACAGTTATTTGTCACCGACGTGGCTTAACCTGTCACACATGCTTTGCACTCATGACTAAGCCCTATGGAATCTTTTAAAAAAAAATATTGTAAAATTCTATCTTATCAAATGCATATTAAAATATAAGTATAAATCTATATTAATTATTATAATAAAAAGAATATTATAATTAAATTATAATTAAATATTAGAACAACACCGCATGTGATTATATGTCATGCTTCCCTTCATATGGAATAATCTTTTAATTAGGTTAAACAATCTTATGACTTTTAAGTGTCGGTTTACCGATAAATTGAAACACCGTGTTACAACATTTCCTTAAAATAAATAATTCATTGTTATGGTGCAAATACGCTGCTGATATAAAGAAGGTAAAAAGGATACTAAGGAATCGTGAATTTCACTAAAAGGAAGTCTCTGAATAACGAATGAATTAAGATTTAAATCTCGCATTTTCTCATTTTACCATGTGCCTCTAACGTTCAGTATATACATGGGACGATTGCTAGAAAATTAGATTCCGAGAATTTTTTGACCAAAATTAAGATATATCACAATTTGATAGAAAATTTCACAGAACTTGATTTCCCACATATTGTCAAAAGTTGATTCATCAACTACCGGATAATTGTACCTTAATACATTTTTGTATCATTTAAATTACGAGATTGTACGAAATTCTCATGATTAGTGAAACAAAAGAATGTAATTTGTCGCAATCTTTCGATTATACTTAAATTTGTCTCCACGTAAAACCAATGGAACTTATAAATACCCGATTACTAGGAAATCAGATTCTGGGAAAATTTTTTTTTAAAATGAGATTTTAAGTTTCAAATTAAGTTTTCCATGTAAATTTGAGATCCTCAAATTTGAATTTAAAAAACTATATTTAGTTACCAACGATCTTACGAAGACTTTATGCTACACGCGTCTGTATTAGGCATCTATTGCAATAATACCCAACAAATATTTTGTCTGCTGAATCCGTTTCTTATATTGATATTCCATAAAGTTTTCACAATCGGTAAATTGACGTTTCGCTGCGTATAATACATTTTCTTTAACGAAATATTGCAGTATTTTTTAATAATTGGTTTTCTCATTTAAAGATTTCTTTTAATAGTTACATCAGAATTTATGCTTCACGTGAAATGTTTTTAATTAGGAATATTGACAAAGAAATTTCGGCGTAAAATTAAATATAATGAAGATTATCGGATCTGAAAACATTTTATAATCAAATATCAAAAAAAACTGTTCACGTGACAGTTCTACGTTTCACAAACGGAATTGTTTGCATTTAACAAAAATGATAAATACTTTTATATCCCTTTATGAGCTTCTTTGTGGAATTAATCGGAATTCAAGAATCCTAACTTTATTTTTTTTCTAATTATAGGAATTCATTCTAAACCATTAAGAATAAAAATTTATTTCCCTCAAAAAAAAATAGTTTTTCATTAGCAATTTAACATAATAAATAAGTCCTATATCAATAATTACCTTATAAAATTTTGTCCAAAAACTCGCTAAAATTTATTGAATTATTTTCAAATAAAGGCAACATGGCTGTTAAAAGAATCCAATTTATTTTGATAGTATTCCACACAATCAACTTTCTTATCATGCAACCAAATCTCGTTTTATGTGATTTTGGCGACGAAGAGAAAAATATTACTACAGACATTAGCATTTTTGATATTAAAATTGCTACAATCCGTCACGATAGCGAGCTTACCAAAGGGCAGGAGATTGGTTATAAAGTTTTAAACTGGTTTATTAGTGAAGTAGTTGGATTCGTATTAATATTAATGTTTTATTTAACATATTCAGGTTGTTTTCTTTGTTTTAAACGTTGTAATTGAATTAAATGTTAATATTATCATCCTCTTCGAAAAAAAAAAAAAATAATTATAAATTTTAAATATTGCCAATGTTATAATAAGTTTCTTGATCTTTTATCTGACAACTGCAAATGTCAAATTTTGAGGACACATCTACAAAATTTCAATTTGAGGTTGTAAATGCTGAAAACCTTTGACAAATATTTAATACGTCGTTGTGCTACATAATATTTTAACAATGATTAAATGAAATGATTCATGGTACCCGTAAAATCTTCTCTGTAAATTCACTAATGACTATTTTATAAAGCGGTATAGCTTTAGTATGTACAGTTTTTCAATTCCAACAGATTAATTTATTCATTTGTAATTTCGTAAGCTAGTGGATTTCACATCTTAAATCTGTTATTCTAAAATTAATAAATGGGAGGAAACTCTATAAATATATATATATTTATTTTTTTTGAATTAATGTCAAAAATCATATTTAGCATTGAAGTAAATTGCTTTTATTGTATCTGTAGTTTCCTATCCCTATCTTCGGTCCGAATAATTTGAGCATGTAGGAGGATTATGTACACATAATAACAGTTGGTGACCACTAATTCTCAAGGTGTCTTCTTCATATAAGGATGCAATATGACCGGCAAGATGTTGGCTTTAAATTCTTAACGGCGGCTCCAAGGACTTCTTTTCGTATATCATGAATCGAACAAAGGAGTTTCATAGAAGTGGACGCCTTATTTTAAGTTTAAAATAAGACATTTGATCATCAAGTGTCTTGTCTCGTGTGTCCACGGGTATCTCTGTATACAAAAAGTAAATTACTACTTTATTTGTTTCACACATTCATTACCCCTAAAATAAGTTGATTTCTGCGCCCACATGTGGATAATATTTGTCTCCGTTAGTTAATTCTCCATAAAGAAAAAGATTTTTAAAAACATCTCGATAATAGAAAATATAAATTTTTTCTTTCTCTTTTTAATAATGTACATTTGATGAAGAAAGAGCATAATATTGATACTTAACGTTAAAATTTTTTTTACACAATTATTCAAAGATATCGAAAAAAAAAAAAGATAGAATGTTTGGTGAGACGAGAAAAATTTGACAAACATATATTTTTTCGAATTGAAACGAATCAAGGTGTGATTCATGAAGAAAAAGGAAACCGGCTAGTTTAAATTTTGGGAAGTTAGGAAAAAAAAATAAAATAAAATAAAACAAAAAAGCTGTGACTAATTTAACATGGTTACTCACGTGCAAATATTTGCCCATAAACAATTAACGAGTAAAAGATGTTAACGTACAAGGATATTGAGCTTGATTATTGAATATCTCGTTCTTTTACAAAACTAAAATTAATTGATCGTAGATTTCCTTATGGCATAATTAATTAAATATTTCTAATGTAAGAATTTACCTTAATGAAAAAATTCATACCATCTTCTTCGTTTAGGTCCTTGTACTATCCAAATAAGAAAATTTCGGATTGTTAAAAAGTGATCGTCGTATCATTAACTAAAAATCCAATCATAAGGAAAATTTTAAAGTATTTCATAAAAGTTTTATAACAAATCTTCCGTACGTATAATATTTTAAGTTGTTTTCATTATTCCTCTCCAAAAGGAGGAATAGGTATAAATTTGTTTAGCTTCATGCAGGAACTATGGGAGACGTTTTATAAATACAGTATATCTCAATATCAATATTAATTTCAACATTGATAGGAACGGAACAACGGTTGTTTATATATGATTATAAATAAAAAAAATTGGAACAGAAATATTGCATGAATAAATAAAAGTATTTTTTTATAATTTATTATGTAATTATATAAAAAAAATAAAATAAAAAATAAATAATTAATGATTACTAATATTTAAAGTAATGTAAATCAAAGAATTCGTCAAAAACCTATGCTAAGGTAATAAAAATCCTGTTTTATCTTGATAATTCAGATTGACGTGATGAATAAAATTAATCAAATAATAGTAAGAATAATAATAAAGAATAATGCATTAAAAAAATAATTTAAGTCACCTGTATTTACCACTAATCAAAAATTCTTTAAGATTCAATCTAAAACTGCATAAGAAAAAATTAAACAACAATCAAATAAATAGATAAAATAAATAAAATTAATAATTAAATTAATTACCAAAATAAGAAAAAAAAATAAATCAAAAAAGAATTAGTTTGCTTACCTTCACTATAGTGATGAAATAGACCAGTCTGTTCAAAAGTTCTGTCCAATTCTTGACCTAAGAGAAAAAACAAATCTAATCTAAAAAAAGAAATTATTTATTAAAGATAAATAAAAACAATAAAACAATAAATCAAAAAAAAAGAAATTTAGTTAATTGTAGAGAACAAACCAGATGGTCTCATGCTTAACAGTACATTTCAATTTTCACCAGTTATAACAAAAATTAAAGGAGTAATGTATACCATTATAGAAAAGACCAGAGATCAACTTATAAAAATTATGTGTATCTGCAAAAAGAAATTACTCTACAAAAATTATTCAGTAATCTTCAGGGAAATATAATGATAAAGTCAACAGTTTACAAAAGTAAATATCGAGATTGGTTCAAGAATTTATAATCCTAATAGAAAAATTTTATAAGATCGATAAAGTATCGATATGGTGAAATTAAATTATTTGAAAAATTTCTATTTAATTAAAAGACAGCAGAAAAATAAAGTTATTTCTCTACAAAATTAGATCAAATATTTGAAGAATACTTTAATTTAACAATCATAGTAGTTAGGTTAATATGGTTTAAAAAAACGTACTATACTAAACTAAATATGTTAAATTTTCCTCGAGATATATAAATCACCATTACAAAAATGTTGGAAATGTTGTAAGTTCTTGAGATAGTTCTTTGATTCTATTTTGTCATATTAGTGCAAAAATTAGCTTGTTAGGAAAATTTTCGAATTTTTGATTAAATTCAGTGAACAGTATCATTTTTTCTCAATAATGAAACGATACACTATCAATATCATATTTTTCACAATTACCAAAGTTCCAACTTTGTATATTACGTGTGTAAATAGTCGCTTTTAATAAAAAATTTTTTTTTGGCACATTCAGTTAAACATTCTGCTTCTAATGGTATAAATAAAAAAAAATTTGATGAAACTCATAAATTTATAAACTCAAATCTTAAAAATTCCTTGGAATGATGCATCCTGATGATCAAGCTAAGACCACCTTATTACTCTATCAGGATTATACGAAAAGATTTTATCAAATGTATACTAATTATAAAAGCTTGCTTAATGGACAATGGTTTAATATATAGGAAAAATAAATTCAATACTTTACTGATTCGAATCAGCGCCCTGATGTTTAATGCATGCTATAAAATTGATTTAATTTTTGACGTGGTACTAAATTCTCTCAATTTTCCGCTTTTCTTAACGTTTTATTTTTTTACATTTTTACTTCGATAAATTTTATTTAACTTTTTAAGTTTTAGTTTCAACTTAAACTTTCTGGGATTTAAATTCTGTCTATAAATATTAATAATTTTTATTTTTAAGATCTCTGCTTGAACTTAGGCAGGACTTTTGTTTTGTAATTAAGGATTTTGAAATAAAAAAAAATAATGTAAATGATTTTTTTGCTTTAAAAATTTAATCGTATATTTTAAGCATTTTACTGGAGTGTATGATCGGGGGACGAAGTTACCCGGTGTTAGGCCTGGAATTGAACCGAAACCAAGCTAACAAACTAAATAACTTAAGATCGCAATTATCTCGAAGGCCTTTCCTAAGAGAAATAAACGATTAACAAACAAAACGGATTTATTATCACGATTCACTTGCGTAGTTAGTTATCACGATCAATCCTATAATGAAGAAAAGAAGGTTGAAAGTGTAATTAGTAACTTTATTAATCTGTAGAGTTATAAGTCTAATCTCAAGACTTATCTCAATCTCTGAGTAAAACTTTGTCGATTCAAGGTCAACTTACAGGTCTATTTATATAAAATTGCTAACTGTTATTATGCTACGCCTTTCAATAATAATAAGTAATATATAGAATGAAAACTAAATAATATAAAATTTATAATGTAAAGTAAATTATTCGATACATGTTATCCAAAGCAATTCAAACGTAACACGTATCACATATATCACAAGTGTTACATACGTTTCTTTTATGATATTCGCCGCAATGAGGTCATCTGAGGCGCAGTAGGATTTCGATTATATAGGTAACACTGATAATCGGTGGCTTAGAAATTTAACGTTACATGATTTACCAAGTGCATTTTTTTTCGCTTTTTTTTTTTACCAAGAATTTTTACCATTCCATTTTACAAAAAAAAAACAAAAATATCAAAATGCAAGCTGACAATAATTCAATTGGGTGGATTAATTTGATAGAGGAATATGTTTTAAGAAACAATATCAAATGTTACGAATACAAACATTTTAGCAATGTTCAAGAGATCGGTACTGGCAGCTTTGGAAAAGTCTATCGTGCAAATTGGAAAAGTTTGAGGCAGCCTCTCGCGTTAAAATCTTTTCATAACCTTAACAACGACACTGTTAAAGAAATAATTCGTGAGGTAATTACTAATTATAAAATGTATTTTGGTCTATTTCAGTCTGTTTAATTATATATCAAATTAAAATTTATTTTTAGCTTGAACTTCAAAGCGAAGTCGATTTTCATGAAAATATTATTCGCTTTTGTGGAATATCTTCAAAACAAAGTATGTAATGTTCAAAATAAAGTTTATTAAAGATGCAAATTGGCATTTTTATTTTTATTTATTTTATTTTTAACTCATTTATAAATTTTTTAAAAAATTAAAAAAAAAAATCTTAGAAAATGATGTACATTTGAAAAAGTATTGGTTAGTAATGGAATATGCTGATGGCGGTTCACTTAGAACCTATTTGAAGAATAATTTTAATGAGCTTACTTGGGATGATAAATACAAATTTGCATTTCAGTTGGCTAGCGCTGTGTCGTTTATACATGAAGAGGGGATTGTACATCGTGATTTGGGAAACCTTACATAATATCTATATCTTACTTTGTTTATGATTGCTATTAATTATTCATAAATAATTTTTTATATTATAGCATTCTGACAACATATTAATTCGTCAAGGTGTTATTAAACTTGCTGATTTTGGATTATCGAAAAGAATTGATGCAGCATCT